CCGCTCACTGGCTGAGCGAGGAGCGGGCGCAACACTGAGGGTTGCGATCCCGTTGCTGGTCCCGGTCCAGTACGGGCGCGACACTGAGGGTTGCAATCCGTTGCCGGTCATGAAAAAAGACAAAAAGGAAAAAAAAAAAAAAAAAAAAAAGAGAGATTCCATATGCTATCTTCTGTTGTATGTAACATCTTATGGCCTAGTGATTTACCTCTCTAAGGGTAACTAGTCTAAATTAATTAAAATACACAAAATAATTGTATTTCTTATTTCTACAACATGTACTCTTTGACATTCTAGAATCCCTGAAACTGGAATGCATCTTAGAATCAATGTGCTAGGAAAGCATTTTCATAAAGATGTGCAGTGTTCTTTCTTTCTTAGAAGGAAACTTACGAGTTTTACAATAGATGGAGTCCTACAGCCAACGAAATACGTGAAATGTTCTCAAAACAAAGCACAGGCTCTTTTCACAATATAGATTCTTAGCCTGCAAATATTTATTTGAACTCGGATCTTAATACGAGGGTACTTCAAAAAGTTTATGGAAAGGGCCGGCCTGGTGGCGCACTGCTACAGTGCGCCACTTGGGAGCGTGGCGGCGCTCCCTCCGAGGGTTCGGATCCCACATACAGACCAGCCACTCACTGGCCGAGCGAGGTGCGGGCGCAACACCGAGGGTTGCGATCCCGTTGCTGGTCCCGGTCCGGTACGGGCGCGACACTGGGGGTTGCGATCCGTTGCCGGTCACGAAAAAAGACAAAAAGGAAAAAAAAAAAAGTTTACAGAAAGATTTGTATTATCTTTTAATTCCATTTTTCCGTGAACTTTTTGAAGTACCCTCATATAGTTCCCTGAGCTAATATGGCACTATCTGGAAAAATNTGAACTTTTTGAAGTACCCTCATATAGTTCCCTGAGCTAATATGGCACTATCTGGAAAAATCTTTTAAAATGAAAGTATCTTAGGGCTGGCCCGGTGGCGCACTCGGTAGAGTGCGGCGCTTGGGAGTGCGGCGGCGCTCCCGCCGAGGGTTCGGATCCCATATAGAGACCGGTCCGCTCACTGGTTGAGCGCGGTGCGGGCGCACCACCGAGGGTTGCGATCCCGTTACCGGTCACGAAAAAAGACAAAAAGGAAAAAAAAATGAAAGTATCTTAGAAATAATAACAACCTGGTAGACATTTTTATATTGTTTTCTTCCATGACAACTAGGAAAATGAGATGGATGGTCTGGAACTGGAAACATCGCCTACAGAGTGCCATAAAATGGCACAAGGATATTAGGCACTTCTAAAGAATGAGAATTCTAATGTATAGCATCCGGCAGGGAGTTAAACATCAAAGAGTTCCAGACCTAAAGAGTTTAGTTTTAGCTTTGTACTCCATTTACAAATCTTCACCACACCATACTCAAATAAACCAATGGCTTCAACAACACCGAGAGTAAAAATATCCAGGATGGCTACATCATCTTTTATTTTCTACTGCTACCAAATCTTTCTCAAGATTTCCATAACAAAACTCAACGGTCTTCTCCCCAAAACATGCCCTTCCCCTCATATTATGATCAAGAATACCATCACCCACTCAGTTGCCCAGGTAATATCCCTAAGCACTGTTCAATTCTTCCCATCTCCATCCTGTTACAAAGTCCTGTTGTCTCTACCTCCTAAATACATACTAAATCTATTTTTCCTCCATCTCCACCATCATTGCTTTATTTCAACCTCATTATTTAATCCTCTGTATGTTGCCTTCAACCCATCTCCATCTCTCTCTTTTTTTTTTAGTTTGTTTTTGTATAAAACTGTTATGTCAAGTAAGTGACACCTATTGCTATCTCCAGGGGAGGAGTCCCACTAGCAAAGAGCACAACAATGCCTACAACTAGAATTTGCAGGTGTCAGAGTTACCAAGAAAGACACGACATACACTAGCAATGGCTAGAACAACACTTTGCTCACATAGAGAAGAGACAGAGGAAGGTCACCCTCAACAGTGACAGAAGACCCCCACAGCCAGCACAGATGGAGATGGTCTACACACCCCTCTCATGCTGTTCCCTCCCCAGTGGGAACAGATGTAGCAGCACAGTGCCAAATGACCCACAGACACAGAACAAAGAAGTACACATCAAGCCCAGAACAGGGAAAGTCATTCCCAAAGAGATCTGCCTAACACAGGCTGTGAGGGTCCTTTATTTGCACGGAAATATTCCAGATCCAACACCACTCTATGCAGCCATGCTAGTGGCAAGAAGCTGCACATGACTGCCTTTCCCAACTTGATACATGCTCATTATTTATAAAGGGGAAAGCCATATGCAAGAAGGCAATAAATTATATACCAAATCTTACCAATCAGAAATAACCAGTGATGTGAGCATCACTGTAGGAATCTTTTTGTGCATATACGCAATACTACAGAAAAAAACTTATTAAGACATCAAGTTTCTTATACATACCAAAACTATAATACAAAAATATAATTCATGGTATAAATATTATTCATTTTTAATAAAAATTTAACAGAAGGAAAAAACCAAGTCAAACTGGAGGAATTACAAAACTTCAGATAAAGACAAACCTAATTTTGTAGCTTATTTTTACTGTGTTCACATTCTATTCTGCAACGATTACCCTAGTTATTTTACCTTTGTCCCCAATGAACCTCAATGTTGGCAGAAACTGTGTGGTCACACTGATTTTTTCTGTCTTGGAGGTGACTTTTTTTAAAAAACCTATATCAATTTTTCTGATACATAGCATATACTTATGATATATACCAGAAAGGGCTCTTTCTTTCTAAAAACCCCTCCCATATTGTCATCTTTCTTATATTAAACTTGGGGAATTTGGTTCACACCTTTTATCAGTTCTGACAGCATTAATCCTCCACAAGCTTCCCAACTTTCTGAGGACTGTCTTCCCAGACCAACAGTTTGGAGTGCCAAATGTCACTTTCTTTTTTTTTTTCCCCCCGAACCCCAGGCCTCAGCACTACCAGCGCCGCACTCTCCCAAGTGAGCCACAGGGCCGGCCCCAAATGTCACTTTCTGATCAGTAGTCTAAAGCTTGCGGACACAGGTGGAGAATATAAGAAGGGCTCACTTGGGGCTGAAGTCTTCGCTTGGTAACTACGAGGCTCAGTTAACTTGGCAAAACTACAGTCCCGTTATTCAACCAAACACTAATCTAGCTGTTGCTGTGAGATATTTTGTACACGCAATTAAAGTCCATAACCAGTTGACTTTACATTAGGGAGACTGTCCTATATAGTCTGGTAGGCCTCATTCAATCAGATGAAAGGCCTTAAGGGCAGACCTGAAGCTTCCCTGAAGAAAATCTTGCTGTGGACAACAACTTCAACTCATGGCTGAGAGTTCCAGCCTTACCTTCCTGAGAGCCTGCCCTAGAGAGGTGGGCTCTAGGTGACCAGCCAGCCCCCACAATTAT